TCTATCTATCTATCTATCTATCTATCTATCTATCTATCTATCTATCTCTCTCTCTCTATCTCTCTATTTATCTATCTATGTGTATATATGTATACAAACAAAAATAAATAGACAGATAAACATTGAGTCCTTCATGGGCAGAGTTGGCAGAGATGTAAAGCACTCGGAGAGACTGTCCCTTCAAGGTGATGGAACTCGCCGAAGCACAGTTAATCGCGCGTCCTACGTGAGCCGAGACGATGAAGGCAACTCAGTCGCAGTTCAGTCGGCTCTTGACAGGACAGCTGCTTAGGGATCCTCATGCTGAGAGGGATGTGCAATTCTATCCTCAAGACACTCTGCAAATGATCATTTCTTGAAGAAAAGGGGGAGGTGCCGTGGGCAAGCAGCTGAGGTGCTATGCGAAGATCCATCGCCAGTCGCAAGTCCTACAATGCTGGTTTCGAGGATAATGAAGGCAATCTGGAAGCAGAGACCTTTAGGTCACATCAAGCGAGGGTACAGTGGGGTACAGACGAGAGGTTTCCATAGGACTCTGACATAATGTAGACGGTTGATTGATAAGACCCCACATGTGGATAGTAACACCTCTCGGTATGGGCTTCTGTTGATCAACTGTTTTTGCATTAATTAGGTATTAGTTTGATAATTTCATGACATTCGTTTGGGGGCATTGGACGCATGCCGGAGAGTCGTGCTCTACAACTGTGAGAATGGTATCTTGGTCTAACATGATTCCAATTCGAGTTTGCTTTCCAGGTATCTTGAAGGCTACTAATATCCTGGCACCTACTACTAGTAGCAAGAAGCTACAAGGAACAAAGGGCATCGCTACTAGGAGCAAGGACGCTGCTAGTAGCTCGTGGCCACAATGCTTCATGGGTTCCGGGCCAGCAGACTCTGCTTGCGCAGTTTGCAGAAGAGTCCGAGTCGCCTCAGTCACGTCAGTTGAGGGCAGACACGGCAGGGATCCTGAAGAAACCATCCAATCTCTTGTGGTCAATGGGGAGACGGTGTAACCAAGAAAGTGAAGGTGATATGCGCATATCACCTTAGCTTTCTTGGTTACACCGTCTCCCCATTGGCCACAAGAGATTGGAAGGTTTCTTTGCCAGCCACAAGTCCTATGATGTTGGCTACGAGGGGGGTACTAGTAGCTTCTTGCTACTAGTATGGCCAGGAGCGCCCCGTTCGTCGCGTCCGATTCGCTCCGTTCGAGTCGCGATGCCTTTCGTTCCGTTGGTAGCATCCTTTCTTTCGAGTCTTTGACTCCCAGGGTCCGGCGGACCTTCACCCCAGGCGTCCGCCGCTCCACTCGCAGCTCCGCCATGGACGATTTCGGTACCTGGGCCGCAAAAGGCCACGTTCCGGATGGACGTCCAGCGGCCCGGAGGGACTTCCAGAGGTCAGGGAATGGTTGGAAAGAATTCCAGCTGGTGTCTTGGCACCACTTCCATGAGACTTATGATCCTTCATTCCTGAAGCTGTAAGTAGAGGAAGGCTCTGATTTCGCCTGCGCCTCACATGCACGCGGTCGAATGATCAGGAGATATTCGACAGAGCGTGGCGACGCGGAAGTCCTATGTGGACCCAGAAGAGGAAGGTGCGGTGCAGGACCCGGTCGTCAGGGCAGCTAAAGCAGCTGAGGGGGAAGAGCAAACAAGAGTGAAATGGTCTAGGAAGGTCGAGCAGAATGGCAGCGTGGATTAACTGCATTCCCTGGTTATATACGTAGATAGTGGATGGGCCCGATTTCGGATGACCCTGAAATCCTCGTATTAAACAGGTGGCTTTAACTCCACTTCCATGATGATTCCAGGGGAGTGTAGGTTCTCAAGTTTATGGTGCACCGTCCTTTTTTAGAGAGACGTGCCCACGGGCTAAGTCTGTCCACGATGGCAGATGGATTTGTATCGGTTTTGTCCCATGCCAAGTCAAAAACTGATCATTGGTTTCATAGGAAAAGGGGCGCATTGTTTTATTTTTATTTAGTTTTTAAATGTAATGTACAGCATATTTTCAGTGGTGGGGTCCACAAGATACGGATCACTCAGGTTCTAGGTGGCTGTCAGTGCTTAGGAACATGATTTTCCTTCTACTGGGGGTCTGTCAGTTTCTACGCTAGTGTGTTGGGTGGGTGAGTATTGTGTAGTATCGTGACATATTTTCTACAGAATTGGAGGCTTAAGCTTGTTGGTCTTGGAGTTGATGAACAAGATTGCGCACCAACTGCAAACCACCCAAACACTGGTTAACTACAGCCAGCGTAGGTTTTCCATGTTTTCCGGTTTCCATTTTTTGTGTCACCTGAGCTGCCGCCTCGCTTTCGGCAGACGCTCTCCCTCAACAGGTGATGTGCGCCGAAGCACGGTGAACCGGCTTTCGAGCGCCAGCCGCGAAGCAGAAAGTGGCTGGCATGAAGCATCGGAAGAGTGGGTCTGGTGTAGATTGGTGAGAAGACTCCGACGAAGACCTCCACCTTCCATGGACGAAGCTCCTGTGTTGTAAAGACATCCACTTCCATGTAGATAAGTGAGTCGGAGTGTGCCCTCACCCAAGGCTAAGACGGCTAAGAGTTAAAACGTCGTGTTGGCGGCTGAATAATGATCCCCCACAACATATCATGGAGGTGCTTGACCCTCCTGACTCTGAATCTCCAAGGGGGTTGAAAGAACTGGCCCGCACAGTTGGGAAAGCTCTAGGAAGTCATCAACCTTTCCAGTGTCAGAGAGGATCAATGAGTTATTTCATGCTTTCTCTCCTTGGCCTTTTGCGTGCTTTGCGTTGCGCAGACCGCGCACGGAACCAAGGTGGAAGTTTGAACCGCAGCTCCTACGGCCGAGAGGAGGAGAGCGACTTGGGATGCAGTCAGACGGTCACCCGGACGGGGCGCCTCTGGGCTGGACCTGGGTGTCCTATAGGGCCTAGGGCATTCCAGCCGGGTGACCCCTTCAACCATGCTGGTACTGTGGTTTTTGCTGTGACAGTGTTGGGGTCCGGCTCCGTACTCTTGTGGTCTTTTGAAATGTCTTGCAGTATGTCTTGCTACTGTTGTCCATCCGCAGTACGGTGTTCTGTTTCGTGAAGATGAAACGCCCCTTGCACAACACGTTGCCTTTTCTCCCAGTTGCCATTTCAAGCGGTCTTCCTTCCTAGGGCCCCCTCACCCTGGAGCTTTTCTTCGGCAATGTCCGTGGACCCATTGCAAAAGGAATCCTCTAGGAGATCAACAAAATCCATGTTCCAGGGGTTTTCAGGGTACTTTTCAGGGTAAAAAGGACCAACGTATGTATGAATATCCTATCAACACGAACCACCTACTTATTCTGGATATTTTTGGGTCACCCTTGGAATCCCCAGGATTACAGTCCATCTCTCAACACCAGTTCAGTCAAGGGAGGAAAGCCCCTGGCGTTGGAATCACCAAACGAAAACAAGCGTTCGAATCTTGCTTGGGACCGGATTGAAATTCATTTTTGAGCAAGCCAGAATGTCCAGGGGATCAAATGTCCCACAGAAAGTCCAAGGACCAGAGGAGTCAATGACAGTCGCTTTTGGGACCTGCTCTGACTTCAGTCATTAAAGTCACCTCCTCTGACTTCGATCCGTTTCTTCGACCCGTGGGCCTTTTTTGAGGTGCTCTGCGCCGGTCCGAGCTGCGTAGGTCCTATGAGGAAGGTGGCACCGTGGTGGTTCGTGCTGTTTTCGGAGTTGGCTCAGTTGAGTGGGAGATTTCAAGTGACGGTGTTCCCTGGGGGTTTTCAGAAGTTCTATGCCCAGGATTGTGCTTCTTTTGCTTTTTCCGAGAACATGATAGTGCCTCAGGAGTTACAATCTAGTACAAGTTTTCGTTCTTAAAATGGATGTCCATTGAAACACCGATGCCGGCGAAAGTCTTGCTGGTCACCGTTTTCCTTCTTCCGATCTCGATGGCTTGTCGTTGCTCTGCCATGTGCCAAGGAGTTCTCCATGTCTGAATTGGTGCGACGTGAAGCACACACACACAGCGCAGGACGACACGGGTTTTGTGCATCAAAGTCAGGTACGCAGCATCTCCAAAATGTGATTCCCCAAAGCAAACATAGGAAAATCTCCTCTTCAAAAGGAGCGGAAGCCATTCTATCTCTTTGAGCATCACGTTCTGTGGTACCATGTGGTACCCAAATAGAGCATTCCAATCCAATTTGTATAAGGAAGGGACTTACTGACTTACTTTTCTATGTCTTTTGAGATCACTGTGTAGGGATCGCTCCGAAAAACAGCTATGGAGGCGACGGGCTGCGCTCCTCCGTGGCCTATCCCCGCCCTTCAGATGCAGGCGAAAGGAGGGTCTGTGGTGTGGAGGAAGGCATCAAGGTGGTGGTCCCTTTTGCCAAAGGACAAAGCACAAACGTTGAAAGGTGAATTTGTTTTCCTAAGGGGCTTTGCACTGAAGCGTTTGCTGTGAAGGCCTTCGTGATGTGTGTTAACGAGAACAGAAAACACAAACTGCACTCACTCCTCCACCCAAACCGAATGGAATCTCTGGCTTGTTCTTTCGAAAGCAGACGTTTTGGACATGGACGTGTTTGTTTCCCAAAGTGCTTCCAGGGCATATGAGACCTGGTAATATCAAAAAAGAAGTCTTGGTGCAGGCGCATGAGCCAAAGCTTCACCTCCCCCCCGCTGCCCTGTGAGGTGTACCACGCCTTTCGCGCCAGTCCGAGGGTGGTGTGGCACTTAGGGTGGTGTGGCACATGGATCGATCGATCGATCGCTCTAGGGGGTCAGCTAACATCAACCATTGATTACATGGAGTAGATGGCACCTGGCGCCCCAAGAGGTCTTAGACAGATAGGGTCAGGTGTTTGCGGTTAGGTTGGTTTGGGACACCTGGGTCACTTGTAGTAAACACTGTTCGGCTTGTCTAGCTTTTCATTTAGTTCTATCAAACCTATCGGTAAAACCATTCTGCTGATCGACCTTCGTCGCCGGCCATTTTGGCAAGAGAATGAGCGATCGCCAGGAAGATCGTTTTCCTGTTTTTCGGGGCTGGGTGCTAGCGGGTTGGATCGAGAGAGCCATGGTTGATCAGCAGGTGCCTAGCAAGGCCATGCCAGCAGCGGTCAAGCCAAAGGCGAAACCTCCGCCAGCAGCTCTGCGAAGACAAATCTTCAATGCATCGGCTCGGTTGGGACGACGCTAGTTGAGTGAGTTCCTGGATTGGCTCAGTTCCGATTCCGAACCTTTCAAGTGTACCTGAACAGGCTCCTCAGTCAGCATGTGCTGGCCAGCAAACTGTTCAGGGCAAGAGCATTCCGCAGCAGGTGGAGTGCCTTTTCCTCCCCCGGAAGCACAGAGTATTGTTGATCACGCTCATGAGTTTCCTGCTTCTCGCAGATTGAGAAGACAGCAAGAGGCGGCTGCTCGCCGGTCGAAGAGCTTTTCCTTGGGGGCAGATGACTCCAGCAGATCTGGAAAGGAATCCTCTTAATGGCCAACTTCCTGGCCACTTGTCCCAGATTGGATCCAATGAAGGCGAACGCTCCATTCTGATCCTCGACAATCGAGACAAGCAGAGTGCAAAGCCCTTTTCAAGGATGGTTGATCGACGAGGTGCTGACCAACGCCCTCTCGTATGTCAACGTGAAATCCGATCGATCATCTGTGAGGACCGTCAACTGGTTACCACTTCACCATCTTCATGCATGGTGCGCATGCTCGATGGCGTGAAGGTGACCCTATGCGGATCCGCTACCTGCTATTCGAGCGTCCCATTTGCTCGGTGGGATGCCCTGACGGGTGAGGTGCTCAGCCATGCGGCATTTCAACCATTTCGATGGCCGCCTATGACCGAGTCGAGCTTGACCTGGGTCGACGTCAAAATCAAGTTGGAAGGACAGCTCCTCGTCCATCTTGAGCTCAGGGGGTATCGTTCAGACCATGATATGGCTATTCAGCTGTGGCAGACGCGATCCAGAATGATCCTGTCAGAGACAGTGTTGATGCCGTCCGTGGTAGTGACCGTCTTCCAGGGTTGGAGAGTCATCGCCTGCTCCTTTGAGGTAGGCGGTCGCCTGTACGCTTGCTCAGACGTCGTGGTGGCATTGGATTTTCCGCTATGCCACTTTGAGCGCCGCTTCGTGGCTAACGGGACCTCCCATTTTGGCCATCGCCGTGGAATCCAATTCGATGAACATGCACCTGGTCATCCGGAGTAAGCTTTTATATGGCATTTAACCCAGGCGCCAAGCAAATCACTAGATGCTTTCCAATTAAGAAGCTTGAGAAAGATTCTCAAAAGACCGCCTACTTTCATAGATCGGTCATGTACGAACCAAAAGATTCTTGAGGAAGCAACTGCCATTGCCTTCCCAACTCGTGGCGATAACGGACAAATTATACGTTTCAGTGATTACCATATGAACAGACGATGTAAATTACTTGGGCATATAATTAGAAGCAGTAATGATGACCCCACTACTAGCAAGGCACTTGTTACTAGAAGCGATGCACTTGTTTCTAGTAGCTTCTTGTTACT